CTTGTTTTCAGAATATATTTTAAAGGAATGAAAGTACAGTATAGAGTAGTCGATAATACTGTAATATTTTTCAATGTTGACAGAAAGTATACTTATTGGGATAAGAATTTAATAATGTAGATATCTGCTGAATCATTATGTTGTATACTTGAAACCAATATAATATTGTGTATGAACTACACTTTAATAGAAAATGAGAAAAAGAGCAAAGATAAAATATATTTTAAAAGTTCGCAACTCAATTACCAGAAAACAAAAATGCAATAAAAAATAAATAAATTTGAATAGGTATTTCTTCAAAAAAATACATATGTAGGAATGGGCAATAAGCACATGGTATCATTCTCAGTATTATTAGCCATCAGCAAAATGTAAAAACCAGTGAGATGCCAAAACCAATGAGATGCCACTTCACAATCACTAGGATGATGATAATAAAAAAGAAAGATGATAATAACAAGTGCTCTAGAGGATGTGTAAAAACTGGAACCCTCATTCATTTCTTATGGGAATACAAAGAAATGCAGCTACTGTGGAAAACAATTTGTTACTTATTTGAAAATTAAGACATAAACTTACTGTGTGGCCCAGAGGTTACTTTCCTGAGTATCCATTCAAGATAAATGAAAATATGAGTCTATACAAAGATTTATACATGAACATTCAGAACAGAAAGATTTATAATAGCCAAAAAGTGGAAATAATACAAACACCTGTTCATGCTGCAACATAGATGAGCCTCAAATACATTATGCTAGATAAAGTTTTAAAAGCACACATTTTGAAAATCCATTTATATGAAATGTTCATAACAGGCAACTATGGAGACAGATGTACATTTGTGATCACCTATGGCTGGAGTGGGAATGAAGGGTGACTGAGCATGAGAGAGGTTTATGTGGCGGTGGAACATTCTATACTTGGATTGGGGTAATAGGTGCTAGTTGTACAGCACTACAGATTTATGAGAAATGAGAACTGTACATTTAAATTGGGTGGCTTTATACATATATACGTGTGTGTGTGTGTGTGTGTGTGTGTGTGTGTGTGTATGCCAGCTTTATTCATATGTATGTATATATACTTCAATAAAGCTAGTAAAAAATAATGCAAACTAATACCTTTCAGGGCTGCTGTAAGAAGTGGAGCTTGAGTGGTTGTTATGTGGGGGCCAGTCAGGAACTGCTGTTGTCTTGATTTCTGGCTCTTCTTTGCCATTATTTCAAATTCTTTACCACTATGCAAAATATTTAACTAATGACACCAATCTTGTATATATAGCCAAAAATGGAGCAGGAACCTCTCTTTTTTTTTGTTTTCCATATTCTTGTCATTTATATAAAAATCAATATGAAGAATGTTTGATATCACCTACAGATGGAATTATGTAGATTCAGTTAAGCATTATGAATATTTGAAATTGTTTTCCCTAAATTCTAATTTATGAAGTAAAAGCTGTCATTTCTGTTCGAAGTTTTCACCTGACAGTGAAACTAAATTATTTAATGTTATATCAAGTCAATTTCAGGAAACCATTTATATTTCTAAAACTTTGGTAGTTTTCTTTTATAATGCTTTTGTGAAATGTATTTCAAAAATCCTTTTTACCTTAATCTATTATTAAAGATGCAACCAGGAAAAGAGAATAAAAACTAAAATCCCAAACGAATGAATTTTACAGGCAAATTAGAAACTTTGAGAGCTTCAAATTTTAATTAACACTTCATGTTTGCAAATCAGCTGGTAAAAACAATTGCATTTTGCTGCCCTTCTATCTGTAAGAAACATATTTTAAACAGTGAATGTAAAAACCAAAATAGGAAAAAACTCCACCAATAATGCAAATATATTGCTTCTCTTTCTGTATTCCTAAGTGTCTCTTTTAAGCCTTACACTTGCTTCTTTTCACTGTTAGTGAATAGTCCCCCGCTACAGTATGGTAAAGCCATAAGAAAACACCAATAAAACCAAAAAGTTTTGAAACCAATTTCAACCAGAAAAGTAATGCTATAAATAGCCAGCATTTTGTTTCATTGCAGAGTTGCTTGGCTCTTTGTTAGACAAAAGCTGGAAATCATCATGTTCGGATTTCAGAATAAGCTCTGACGGTGTTGGGTGCAGACGAGAAAGTTCCCGAGTTACTGAAGATCTCCTTTCTGCTCACTTAGATAAATTCCAGGATCATCTGTGATTTTTATGAGGCAAGAAAATACACTAGAAATATAAAACTTTAAGAAAGTTAAAACAACACGAAAACATACTACACAGTGGGAGCAATGGGCAAAATTTAAACCATTGTGTCCATTTAGGAGCAGGAGGGAGAGGTGAGTAGATCTGTGGGGGTGGTGTCCTCTCTCGTTGATACATGGAGCATCAGAAGTTCAGGTCGAAAGCTCCCCCTGGAGAGGATGAGGAGACCCCAGGTCTAACCATGGCGTGTGACCTCTGCTCTCCAACCCCAGGCCTACTGCAAGGATACTTCCAAGGGACCATCCTGCTGGCTAACGCTGTAACATGTAACTGACCTCTCTTCCGATGGTGGTACTGTTTGTTGTTATTCTTTCCCTGGACATTTATTCTTCCATCTATTGTTTTTTTGGGGGGGGGAGAAACATGCCAGTGCATTCATCTGTGAATTTTCAGTTCAGTCTCTGCAGCCCCTTCCATCCACTTGATCTCCACAGAAGGTACCATGTTCTTAGCTGACACCATTTCTGATTGATTCCTCCCATGGTGGGATGATCAGAATTATTCCCTAGGAATTTGAAGTGGTACTAAAATGTTCCACTCCTCCATTCCCATCTGACTCATCTGAACAAAAACACAAACACAGGTGGCTACATTCATTGAAGGAACAAGAAAGCCTTCCCAGAGGCATAAGGATCAAACATGCTCACAGAGGGAACTGAAGAAAAGAGAAAACGATCTCTTTCTGCTTGCTTTAGCACATTCAAGTTCGGTTTTTATAAGTTTTTTAAAAAAGCTTATTACCAAGATACACTTATTTTAAATGGCCATTTGACCCACCTCTTTTCTTGTAGATAGAAGGTGTTCACTCAAAAACTTAAAGTGTGCTTTCTTCACCTAAATATTTGAGCCATTTTTATGTTGAATTACACACTTTACTGCTGTTGAGATAGTTCATGGCTTCATATGTTGAAGGACAAGGTTCTTAGAATGATTTTTAGCCAATTGCTATCTTTCTCAGTGACAGATAACATTAAAAAAAAATCACTGGACATCCAATCTTTTTTTATCAGTTGAATGAAGTCTGGCCTGCCTGCTCTTGTCAACATGCATTTGATATATGATGTGGATAAGAAATAACTTTTGTTATTTAACTGCTAAGATTTTTGGAGTTTGTGTACCACAGCATAACCTTATCTCTCTCCTCACTGCGTGAAACATTTTATTGTTCTGAAATGTTTACATATCTGACTTCCATCTTGGACAGGGAAATAGTCTTATTTACTGGTGTATACTTAATATATATCATAGAACCTTAATAAATGTTGAGTAAAATTAATTTGTTAGGGAGTTTTCACCCTAAGATTTTCAGAATTTTTAAAGGATTTGACATCAACTAAATTTCAGCAAATATTGAACATCAGTTTCTTATAAACTCTCAAATTATCTTTGTTCTCACTCAGTTTATGATCATATTTGCTATGTGTTTTATTTTTTCCAGCTCTGTATTTTCCTTTTCTTTACACAATTGTAGACTTTGGTGTTTCCCTTTTTCCAGAGAAACCTAATTCTCAGGATGGACTTTTTCTCAACTTCTTTCTCTTATTTCTAAGGGTCATTAGCCTCTTCATTTAACTCTACATCTTACATTTCGTTGTACGTGATCCTAGTCAACTAATTCCAGCTTGTTTGTTTTGAGTCACTCAGAGTATGTGTTGCTCAGTTTCCTTCTGTTGGTGGCATTCTCTTGAGAAAGACTGTCTCTCTTCTGCCTTGGACCTTTACCTTCACTTTTATTAAGGGCACTTAGTTAAGACACATACTGCAGGACACGCTCATTTTATCCTGGGTCAATTCCCTTCAATCTCTTTAAAGTACCTCCATTGTCCACACCCTAAGTGTTATCCAGTTTGTTACCATATAATTTTTCATAGTATTCTCTAATAATTCTTGGTATTTCTGTAGTGTCAGTAGTGATTTTTCCTTTTTCATTTCTGATTCTGTTTATGTGTGTAGATTCTTTTTTTCTTGATAAGTCTGGCAAGGGGTTTATCTATTTTGTTTATTTTCTTAAAGAACCAGCTCCTGCTTTCCTTGGTTCTCTCTATTGTCTTATTCTTCTCAATTTTATTTATTTCTGCTCTAATCTTTGTTATGTCTCCCCTTCTACTGACTTTGGGCCTCATTTGTTCTTCCTTTTCTAGTTTTGTTAATTGTGAGTTTAGACTGTTCATTTGGGCTTGTTCTTTCCTGAGGTAGGCCTGTATTGCAATATACTTCCCTCTTAGCACGGCCTTCGTTGCATCCCACAAATTTTGCGGTGTTGAATTATTGTTGTCATTTGTCTCCATATATTGCTTGATCTGTTTTTATTTGGTCATTGATCCATTGAATATTTAGGAGCATGTTATTAAGCCTCCATGTGTTTGTGGGCTTTTTTGTTTTCTTTGTGTAATTTGTTTCTAGTTTCATACCTTTGTGATCTGAGACGCTGGTTGGTGCAATGTCAATCTTTTGAAGTATGGTTGCTTTTGAATGTCCTAATTTCCAAAGAAGTCTTATCCCAGCTTCTCTGGGCCTTAGATGGTCTATTCTGAATCTCCACCTGTAATCTCTTGCTCTAGACATCTGTGAGTTTGTAGTTCCTTCTGGCTTTTACAAGCATCCTCCTCTGCTTTTCCTGCTTGTGTCCCAAATTATGAAAGACAAAAATGAATAGTTTATGACAGTGGGTCGGGTATCTCCAGGTTAGAACAGATATACACATTAAATTACAGAAATTAAAAAGTGTACTCTGTTTCCTTTAATTTGAGGGGAGAACAGAGAACCAGCTGGCTACTTAAGACCAAGACTACCACCAGGCTAGGCAGGGGATAGGGTTAGGACGAATATTGCTTGGTTTCTATAAACCTTTTACTGTTTCCAGAGCACCTACTTAGTTGATTCATACAACTTCTGGTGTAATATGCATGCATGCTCACGTACCTGTGTTTGTGTTTAATATTTATGTGGAGAAATCAGTCCTTGGAACTTTCTAGTTTGCCGTTTTGCTGATGTAACTGCTGTATTTTTTAAAACCTAAGAAATACTTACAAAAAGATTATGCCTTTGAATGTTTTTTCCTGCTCCATTTTATTTCTTCCTTTCTGGACTCACATTACATGAATATTGGAACCTTTAGATATGTCCCACATGTCTGTTCTGCTCTTTTTCTATTCCTTGTGTTTTCTGTATTGTACTTTGGGCATTTTCTCTTGAGAAGAACAGAAATCCTATTCTATCCAATCTGCTCTTAAACTTGTCCGTTTTGTTGTCAAGCCCACAGTTTCCCAACATCCCCGCCAAGTAGGAGCCTCAGGTCAACAAGTGTCTCAGCAGAGGCATTGGCCTTCTGCTTTCCTGCACAGTGTACAAGCGCCAGGGGGCGGTGACCACCGCTCGGCCGCCCCGCCCCCAGGCGCGCAGTCGTTGGTGCGCCGTGCTGCGCACTGTGTGACTCGCTTGCCTTCGGGAAGGAAGCCGGAGCGGCTCGGTATGGCGGCCGTTTTGGAGCCGCGGGTGCTGGTGGAGCTGGTCCAGGCGATCTACGAGGTGAGCTCGTCACCCGCGGCCACACCCGGCCCCGGGAGCGTGGACCGTGCGCGTGGCTGTGTTCGGAGGCTTGGGCGGGCCTGGCCCGGTCCCTCGGCGTCCGTCTCTGGAAGGACTCGCGGGCGCACAGCGCCCCGGCCGCTGAGCGTGGGGAAGGACCGGCTAGAGCCAGAGCCGAGGGTCTTGGTTTGAGCCCCGGCGAGCGGAGATTTCCTCCGGGCCTGTCCCGGCGCGAAAGGAGCGCGTGGAAGAGGGCGCAGGGGAGAGGCTGGTCCTCAGAAACCAGAGTAGGAGCCGTTGGTAAAACGGGGTGGTGGAAACAGCGGGAGGTCAGTCAGGAACGGCCTTCGGAAAGTCGGGGCCCTGGAACTGTTCGGCAGGAACTAGGGGACAGAATTGTGATCCGTTGGGGTTTGTTTTTGTAGGGGTGTGAGGTTAGAAAAGAAACCAAATGGGAAACTGCATATATTGTTCTTCAGGTATTTTTTTATATCCTTTGATTTCTTCCTTGATCCATCGCTTATTCAGTAGCATGTTGTTCGGCCTTCACATGTTTGTGTCTTTTTCCAGTTTTTTCTTGTTAACGATTTCTAGTTTCATAATGTGGCGGGGAAAGATGCTTGATATGACTTGAGCATTATTAAATTTGCTGTCTTGCTTTGTGGCCTTACATGTCATCTGTCATGGACAGTGTTGCATGTGTCCTTGAGAAGAATGTGCATTCTCCTGTTTCCTCTGGGATGTTCTGTTTCTTCTCAAAAATTGGGAGGTTTTAAAGTAGACTCCGTGAGACAAATTCATCTTCTGGAATACAGCCTGGCTTAAATCTTTCAAAAGAAAAGAATGCTTAAAGAGAGGATTGGCTTTGTCATGTTCAATGAAGGTTTTGTGCATAATCTAGCATGGTTGTTAACGAGTGAACTAAGAAGGTGTAGTAATTGAACTTTGTAGCAATTGGGTGTTACAGAGTGTATACCTACATATGGCTTGAAAATCCTTATGGTAACCTAAAACCTTAAAGCTTTGCTTTGGCTATTCGGGGTCTTTTGTGGTTCCATTGAAGAATGCTGTTGGTATTTTGATAAGAGATTGCATTGAATCTGTAGATTGCTTTAGGCAGGATGGCCGTTTTGACAATATTATTCTAAGCCAAGATCACTGCATGAGTTTCCATTTGTTGGTGTCCTCTTTAAATTCTCTTAGGAGTGTCTTGTAGTTTCAGGGTATAGGCCTTTCACTTCCTTGGTTATGTTTATTCCTAGGTATTTTATTCTCTTTGACGCAATTTTGAATGGAATTGTTTTCCTGATTTCTCTTTCTGGTAGTTCATCGTTAGTGCATAGGAAAGCAACAGATTTCTGTGTATTAATTTTGTATCCTGCAACTTTGCTGAATTCAGATATTAATTCTAGCTGTTTTGGAGTGAATTCTTAAGGGTTTTTTATGTACAATATCAAGTCATCTGCAAATACTGACAGTTTAACTTCTTCTTTACCAATGTGGATGCCTCCTATTTCTTTGTGTTGTCTGATTGCCATGGCTAGGACCTCCAGTACTATGTTGAATAACAGTGAGGAGACTGAGCATCCCTGTCTTGTTCTTGATCTTAGGTGAAAATCTTTCAGCGTCTCGCTGTTCAGTATGATGTTGGCTGTGGTTTTGTCATATATGGCTTTTATTATGTGGGGTACTTGCCCTCTATACCCATTTTGTTGAAAGTTTTTATTATGAATGGATGTTGAATTTTGTTAAATGCTTTTTCAGCATCTATGGAGATAATCATGTGGTGTTTGTCCTTTTTGTTTATGTAGTGGATGATGTTTATGGATTTTCGAATGTTGTACCATCCTTGCATCCCTGAGATGGTACTTGATCGTGGTGTATGATCCTCCTGATGTATTTTTGAATTTAGTTTGCCTATATGTTGTTGAGTATTTTTGCATCTATGTTCATCAAGGATATTGGTCCATAATTTTCTTTTTTGTGGTGTCTTTGCCTGGTTTTGGTATTAGAGTGATGTTGGCCTCGTAGAATGAGTTTGGGAGTATTCCCTTGCTGGGAGCCATGCTACTCAAGCTGTGTAGCAAAGCTCAGGCTGGAGGAATACCCCTGCAAAGTGGGGCCCTTCGCAGCTGGCTCCCTGTATCACCCACCTTGATTTTGTTATTCTCCATTATACTATTGGCTTTGCTTTTACATGCATTGTTGCCAAGGGCTAAGCTAACCTTTGATAAGCAGTACGGAGGAGAAGAGAACATAAATTTCCCAGAAGCTTTTCAAGACTGTTCCTGAAGAATGGAACACGCAGGGGCCAGATGGCGATCTTGTCATGGAATACTGAAACCTGCAGTCAGTTAGTCAAACATTGAGTGCCCCATGTCCACCTAGGTGGAAATGCCCCCCTTTTTATTACAATGCTAGTGAAATTGGTGATGGAGAGTCTTATAGAGAGATTAGAGAAATAGAATTATGAGAGATTACTGAATAGAATAACCCTGTCTGACACTTAATCCATCTTCTCATGTTTTCTTCTATCTGCTATTTCTATGGCGTTTCCTCTTTCTTCCTAATTCAGCCTTTTACTAGAATTCGTGCCTCATACGTGAAATTACCAAGTATGTTCCAAGTGATAAAGATACCTCAAGACAAGTGCTGGGCATAGAAGCCACGGGGCATAAATCTGCAAAAAAGTAAAACAACAAAAAAGAAGCTTTTCAAAGAACATTGCTTCTCTCTCACTTACCAGCTTTACATCTCCCTGTATGGCCCTGGAAGATGGCTGGTTAGCCAGAGATGGGTAAGATTCCTCAAGGGAGGAACAACCTAAGACAGGCACAGTCGCAGGGGGTTTTCAGGTGAGAAAATGGGGGCCAACAGAGGTGAGGCTTAGAAACTCACCCCCCCAGTTTTGAGAGAAATCTTCTACACCCATGGATGTTTTGTTGCCCTTGTCTAACTTGGATTAATACCTAGTCTATAGGCACAGACTTGACCATCTACACTTGCCTTCTTACAGTACTAAATCATGCTTTCTATCTTTATCTTGCATCTGCCTATGATAGAATAAATATTATGAGGAGATAAAATTACCCATTGCATTAGAAATATAGATGATGATGCCTGCCTAGCTAACTGTAGCAGTGAGTGACCTGTATTTCACCCTGAGCTGATAGACTTCATAGTCACTGCCACATGCTGCTTGCTTCTGCGGTCACATGCCTTATTTAGAAACTGCGTTGCATAGAAACAAGAGACACAGTAGAGTACATGTTGCTAGGAAAAGTTTAGGTCAAAGAACAGAAAAAATCAACTAACACTTGGCTAACCATGTATAGATGAGAAAGAAATAGAAAGAAAAAGCTTGCCTATGCTTGTTAATCGAAAGAACAAATAAAAAATGATCATATCCTTGTGCAAAATGGTATAAAGAAAGCTGTCATCGGCACTTTGTTGAGAGACCTCCTCCTACTGACTCTGCATCCTGTCTCTCTGTGCACCGACTCTGTCTCATCCTTTAGGGTAACACACCCCCCGCGGGAGCTGGACTCCGGCATTCCCTCCTCTTCTACTCTTTGGAAAACTTTAAGGAGGATGACTATTAGGGCTTCACTAAATGTTTGATAAAATTCAGCAGTGAAACCATCTATCTGGACCTTGGTTTTTGTTAGGTAGTTTTTTGATTGCCAGTTCAATTTCCTTCTGGGTAATTGGTGTATTCAGATTTTCTGTTTCTTTGTGGGTCATCCTTGGAAGGTTGTTATTTTTCTAGAAAGTTGTCCATTTCTTCTAGGTTATCAAATTTGTTACCATATAATTTTTCATTATATTCTCTCATAGTATTCTCTCATAATTCTTTGTATTTCTGTGGTATCCATAGTTATTTTTACTCTCTCATTTCTGATTCTGTTTATGTGTGTAGACTCTCTTTTTTTCTTTGATAAGTCTGGCTAGGGGTTTATCTAGTTTGTTTATTTTCCCCAAGAACCAGCTCCTGCTTTCATTGATTCTTTCTATTGTTTTATTCTTCTTGATTTTATTTATTTCTGCTCTAATCTTTGTTATGTCTCCCCTTCTACTGACTTTGGGCCTCATTTGTTCTTCCTTTTCTAGTTTTGTTAATTGTGAGTTTAGACTGTTCATGTGGAATTGTTCTTCTTTCCTGAGATAGGCCTGAGTCTGTTCCTTTTTTGTGGTCTTAAAATTTTTAAAGGAATGTTTTATACGTGTCTTTAGAATTGGTAAATGAATGAGCCTCTTTTCTGTAATACCTGAGGTTGGCACTGAGGTATTCTCATTGGAGCTAGGCATACAATCTGACCTTTAGTTATGACAGATAAGGTGCAGAAGTTTTGCCTCTGAGAAGTAGTCAAACAAACACCCAGGGGACACAGGGAAAATGCCCTTCTGGAAGCTGGTGGGGCAGGAAGATGCTGAGGCCCTGCCTGGGGCAGGCAGCATACCTTCCCTGTGGCTCACATTTTCTTTCAGCAAGACACAATGTGAACCAGCCTTGAAGTGGGGAGCCTGGCCCTGAGGAGAGTCTGTGCTTTATCTCACAGTGGCCTCAGTGCCCACATTTCATTTCTCCCGGTCCCTCTGGCACCCAGAGTCCAGTTTGCCAAGTAAGTGATGGCGGCTGAGGAGGGATGAGGGCCAAGTCCCCAGAGATTCACTTCCTTTCTAAGCCCTGCTGGCTTGTCTCACATTTATGTTTTGCCTCACTTTACAGAGGAACCTGGCAGCACCTGATTCTGTATACCCACTGCCATGCACAGCGTCATCTGTTACGGCATACAGTAGCACTCAGCTCCTAGGGCACTGGTTCTCAAAGTGGGTGTCCCAGAGCATCAGCAACAGTGGGGAACTTGTTAGAAAAGCAATTTCAAGAAGCCCATCCTAGACTCACTGAATCAGAAACTCAGAGGATGGAGGTCAGCAGTCTGTTTTCTCAAGCCCTGCAGGGGATTCTGATGCTCAAGGGTGAGAGCCACGGTCACAGGGGTGTTGTGGAGAGTGAGTGAGGAGTATGTCACGTGCTCAGGACACCGATGTGTTACTTAGCTGTTAGTGTCATCGCCATCATCAACACCACGATCACCATCGCCATCATCACAGGAATCCTTTCTAATAATGCTTTAATCTCCAGGAGCACTTTAATACTCACAGATGGGTACTTTTCCTTGGAACGACCCCCTGTCCCACATACATATATGTATGCAAGCTGGCTGACTCTCTTAACAGCACAAACGTCTTCTTGACCATTTATCATCATGACATAGGGTGTCAGGGGGAAAATGTAAGAACCTACATTAGTAAGGGAAGACTTTGTTAATAGGGACAGTTGCAAGTTAAAGGGAAAGATGGTTGAGCAAGATTTATAAGTGGCATAAAAAAATCAGACAAAATATATTGAAAATAGAAATACAGATAAAATAAAGATGTCAAATATGCATACAAAAAAGACCTAAGTCCAAATTTTGATAAAAGATTAAATTCAAGATGACAACGTCATAAAGGAGGAAATGATGATATACAGGGCACAGAAGCAATAGTAGGTACAGAATGTGCTTATGAATGTGCACATTCATGACATTAAAACCAAATAAACTCGAATGCCATTCCCACCAGACCTGTAGAAAAACATTATGACCACCAAGCTGGGGATAGAAAGTCCACATGGAGCATCAAGACACATTCACCATGTGAATCCCTCAGTGAATACTGATTTACTGCCGAAAAAGGGACGTAGGGTGTTATCATAAGTGAATACATAGATAACCTGAAGCTCCCTCTCTCTGTGGTGCACATTGGACTTGAGGCTCCAGTAGTATGGAGGGGAAGGAAAGGGAAGCAAGGCTTACCCAGAAAAAAGTATGCACCCTAGGGATATCTGATGAGGCTGCTCAATACCTGATTCAGCCCCAAGGCTTTGACTCCTAATCTCATCCTCTACCCTGCAGAGACCTTAAGGGTCAGTGCTTACCCATTACCCTTAGCTCACCCTCACCCATTCCTGGCTTCTGGGTGCAGCACATGTGCGTGTCTGAATGTCTGTGTCCTCCCAGGATTCACAGGTTGAAATCCTAACTCCTCAAGATGTTAAAATGTGGGGCCATAGACAGGTGATTCTCAGCCCTTATTCTGTGGATGAGGGCCTTTTAAAAGAGGCTCCAGGAGGTCCCTAACCTCCTCCCACTGGGAACACAGTGAGAAGCCTCTGGCAATGAACCAGGAAGAGGGCTGTCACTAGATATGGCCATACAGGTGCCTTGATTTTGAACTTTCCTGCCTCCAGAGCTGTGAGAAGTACATTTCTGTTGTTTTTAATCTACCCAGTCTGTGGCATGTTGTGATGGCAGACACACTGGACCAAGACAACATGCTTCAAACTTACAAGGAAAGTGAGGACTATCTTTTGGCAGAAATTCACAAATCTAAATAAGTGTAAAATAAACTTAAGTTCTGCGCCTTGGTTTATACCAGACATAAACATTATGTGGCAAGGTGGACAGAGGAAATCCTGAGTAAAAATCCTCAGGAAATAGCTAAAATTCGAGGGTCAACTTAACAATTTCAAGGTTTATGAAATTGGTGGGCCTCTAGTCAAGATCTCTAAAGGATGATGGGAGCCAGATAATGTCTGGATGAATGGAAAAGGTGAATAGGGTTGGAAAGGACCCAGAAGCCCCAGGAGGGTGCAGAGCCCTGTGGGACTGGATGGTGGGGGTGGGGCTGTGGTCCAGCCTGCTCCTCCTCTGTCCCCTCTCCCACCCTCAGGAGCCCTTTGTGACCAGGCCACCCTCTGTGTTGGGGCCCTACTGTGCTGTGCCCAAGCAAACACCCAGAGGTCAGTTGCCTGAGGGCAGCAGTGCGATTCAGACAATGGAGAATCCTCTCCTGTCTCTGAAAAGTGTTCTAGCTACCTGGCTGAGCCCCAGCTCCACCTCCTGGGTGACTGACACCATCATCATCCTGTGTGGACTGGGGCCTCTCCTTCTGTCACTCCCCTTCTTCCCAAGTGATCCATCCTCACCACCACCTAGAAACATCAGGAAGGTAAGGAGCCCTTGGCCCAGGCCCGACTGAATGTTATTCTCTCTTTTCTATGATTACTTCTGCTTTTTGTAGTCAGCTGTAGAGGCTCCTGGGATGGGAAAGAAGAGAATATCTTTTCTCAGGAAAGAATACAAGGTCCTCATTCTAGGCATAAGCCAGGCCGGGCATGAGTTCCGGCAGGAGGATCTATTCAAAGATCCCAGACAGGAGCCAGGTGGGCTAAAGGGCTCCAGGCCAAAGTCCCAAACCCAGGGGCCAGCAGCTGCGGCTGAGATCCTAAGAATTTGATGCCTGCGGGAGGACAGGCCCCGGAGCACTGATCCACCGGCTGCCTTCCTGGGGCAGGGGTCTGGGGCAGGGGCCTAGGGCGAGGCTTCGTCCAGGCTGACCCAAGGGCAGTGCTGAGCCCGCAGCACTTCTGACCAGGGGCTGCTGTGGGGCCCAGGCCTCGGGAGGCAGCGTGCGGCCTGACGGAGCTCAGAGGGGCTTGTGGGTCTGAGCACGTGTGTGTTTCTTGAGCAGAGAAATACACTGATGCAAGAAAGCCAGGGCGGGTCTCACATAGGAAGTCCTTCTTTACATTCTTCAAGGAAGGAAAACTGAAAATATTTTTATCTACTTTAAAAAAGTCCAACAAAGAAAACCTCGAGGCCCATTAGTTAAATGTAGACAGTAATGTTCACGGACTTTGAGATCTGCACCCCATTTGTGAGTTGAGTGAGACTTGGCCCCACCCTGTCGTGATTTTGGTTTTTTGGTCCCTCAGCATCACCCGGAGCCCAGGGAGAAGAACAGGAGGAGGAAGAGAGGCGCAGCTCTGAGACGTGAGCGCCTGCCAGCTGGCCATGCCAACCCTGGAGGCAGCTTCCCTCGCTCCCGCCCAAGGGCCCAGCTCCATGACACCCCTGAGGATGCCAGCGGCAGGGCCTGTCCCTCAGGATTGGGAGCCTGTGGGGAGGCTGCTGGGCAGGAGATCCGAGCCTGGATGCTCCCCAGAGTCTGTGCTGGAACAAAGCTGAGAGGGGCTGGAAGTGGGTGTCACCCAGCACGGACTGGGTGGGCTGGAGTGGACCAAGAGTGCCTGGATCGGGAGGGGTGACTCCAGGTCCACATGGGGACAATGTGGTAAACTTTCCTCAGGGTGGCTGTGAGGGCCACAGTGGGTAATGGATGTAGAAGCCTCTTGAAAATACTAAAGC